GCTGTAATCCTCCCCCAAATAACGATTCACCACAGGAAGTTTGCAATGGGTTGGAAGAATCACTGCATTGGCTTGTTAGTATTTTCCAGGCTTGCGATAACCGAGAAAGGTATTAATGTTTTCTTCATTGAAACTGGGGTAGATTGCACCAGAGATGGGTTCCTACCAGTACAGTTTGGTTCAGCCATATAGGTAGTAACTCCGGTGGACATGTGACCGTACCGGTTCTATCCTCGGCGGTGCCATATTTATTTTCTGTTCTGCACATGCGCAGAACAATCTTCATTGAAAAAATTTAATTTTGCCCCCTTTTTTTAATGGTGTGCACATGCCAGTCCCATGCCATTTGTTGCAAAAATGGAGGTGTTTTTCCCTTCCCCCAGCCTCCAGAAGCACTCTGCAGGCTTCAGCAGGGCTGGGGGAACAGGAAAATGCCACACTTTTTGTGACAAATGGCCCATCTCTGGGACCTCTCTGGGACTGACATGCACACACCATTAAAAAAGGGGGGGATTATATTTTTTCAATTTTTGCCATTTTCCACCCATTTTTCACAAAAAAACAGGGGCATTTTTCCCTTTCCCCCCTATCCCTGCTGATGCCTGCAGAGTGTTTCTGGGGGCTGGGGAGGATCAAAACTTTTTTTCTTTCTAAGTAGTTTCCAGATGCTCCCTTAGCTCCGGTGAGGCTGGAGCCCCACACCCCTGTCAAAACTTTTTGCCACCGTTTCCGTGGGCATGGCTTGGTGAGGGGGAGGGTCATGTGACTGAGTGTGCATGAGTGACATCAAGTTGGCCATGCCCACTCGGTCACATGCCCCCCATTTAGCCACGCCCACCGAACCATTAGTAAAAATTGTTGAAACCCATCCCTGGATTGCACCTTTCGATTCCAGCCATTTTGATTCCTGAACAGTACAATGGCAGAAAATAGCCATCTGCAAATGTGTGAAATAGGAAGAATGGTACTTTCAGTCCAGACAGCTGGTGTTCCTGGAAATGATAACATTTTTATCCTCAGAGCACATGAGCAACTGGTAGGAGAGCACTGAGGTCACAATGCAGACTTTGGAGATTGCCATTCTGCAGGATTATTTGCACGTCACTTACAACTTCGGCAATCTTCTGAAAAGAAGCTAGATGAAAAGAGCTTTGAAACCAACTCATTTGTTTCAAGTTCTACCCTACTTTTTGACCTGCAGGGGCCTCAGGTAGGAAAAAATAATAGAAAATGGTTGAAATACATAAATAATATGATATCATCAACCACCAACTCAAAAGATCTAATAGAAGAGGCAGTCTTGACTCCTCCTTAACTTTGCAGCAATAAGCAACATGCATGTGTGCTTGACAAATGGGCTTTGAAAATTGGGGGCATAAATAAGAAAGGATCCCCTTCCCAAATATAGTACCTAGAAAGCAGGGGTGGGTTTCAAAGTTTTTTACTACTGGTTTGGTGGGCATGGCTAAATGGGGAGGCATGTGACTGAGTAGGTGTGGTCAACTTGATGTCGCTCACGCCCACTCAGTCACATGACCCTCCCCCTCACCAAGCCATGCCCATGGAAACCGTGGCAAAAAGTTTTGACAGGGAGGGAGACTCCAACCTTGCTGGAACTAAGGGAGAGCCTGCAAACTACCCAGTAAGAAAAAAAGGTTTTGTCCTCCACCGCCCCCCAGGAACACTCTGCAGGCTTCAGCAGGGCTGGGGGAAGGGAAAAACACCACTGTTTTTTTGCAAAAAATGACCAAATCTCTGGCACTTCTCTGGGACTGACATGTGCACATCATTAAAAAAGGGGGGAAATGACATTTTTTCAATGAAGGTTGTTCTGCGCATGTGCAGAACAGAAAATAAAGATGGCGGTGTGGGGGATAGAACTGGTATGGTCACATGTCCACCAGCATTACTACCTATCCGGCCAGTCTGTACCGTACCTGTAGGAACCCACCTCTGCTAGAAAGGATCATATCAAGTGGGTTCATGCCATTTATAACTAGAAGAGGTAGCTCTTTTGCAAAGTGTGGGCGACTCTGTTGACTCACCCCCAAAGAAATCATTTTCACTGGGCGCACCATGCTTAACATCAGTTCTTAGAGACATAACTTATTTTTCCACCATCATCTCTGGTGGGGGAGAAATTCACAAGAATTGTGAGCTTTGAGGATATTATTGGGGCAATGATGGCTTCCGTTACTTCTTTCCCCCCTCCCTTTTCTGAAGCTGATAATTCACCCCTCCCCCTTGAGGAGAGCAGGAAATAGAGGCTTGGCCAGGAATTGTCCACTTGTGGGTCTAGCTAACCCTCAACCCATCCCTTGTGATGATTTGCAGTTTTTATTAGCAATGTATACTCGCTGCCATTCAGGTCAGGGCCATCTATAACAGCATTATGGGCCCCCGAGCAAAGCAGTTTACTAGAGCCCCTACGACAACTACTCACAGAAATAAAAATATGAATGGTCAATAAAATTAAACATGTATTTGCATATACATATATTAGTATTAATTTAAAAGCAGTAAAATGTAATACATATGTTGCTGTATTTATATGATACAAGGTGCATTGAAGGGTTAACAGACACAGATCAGTATGGGGCCCTTATGCTCATGGGGCCCATGGGCAAGTGCCCATCAGCCCAAGTGTTAAGACAGCCCTAAAGAAAAGCCCCAGAAGAGAAAGTGGAACTGTCTGCCTCACAGGATATCTATAGCCTTTTGGCTAAGACGCTGAGCTTGTTGATCAGAAAGGTCGGCGGTTCGAATCCCTAGTATAGGTCTCCTGCGTGAGCAGAGGGTTGGACAAGATGACCTTGAAGGTCCCTTCCAACTCTGTTACTGTTAATCTTGAGACCAATTTTTGCAAATAAACATCTAAATCTCCTGGGATTGGAGGGGTGGCAGATATTTCCTTGGTTGTAATTCAGATTTTGTTCACTCCCCTGCCCTCTCTCGACTCCTCTGGCTAAAGCAATGCATGATTGGTCTCCTGGTCGGAGGGACATTGTGAATTCTTGATGCTTTCTTTCTTGCTGAGGTCTGAATGCCCATTTTCTTGTTTTTCAGGATTCCGCAGAAGGAAGACCGGATCTCCGTTTCAGAGGAATATTTGCAGTACAAGCACATCAAGGCCAAACTCCGCCTCCTGGAGGTTCTCATCAGCAAACACGATGTCCCCAAAACCATCTGAAGCCAGTAAAACTTCCTGATGTGAGGAAAGAGAATGCCTGGCTCTTTCTGCCCAGTGATTTGCTTTTGCGCTTCCTTAAGGTGATAATGCTCAGGTGAGCACAGCAGAAAGGTCACGGAGCAGGCATGAGACTGCCCAAAAAAGGAGTGACTGGATGGAGGACAGGCTCTTTCCTGTGAATTCTCTCCTATTTCCAGAGTCTGTTTTCACCTGGACATTTGCCTGCTGCTGAGCTAAAGGGAAGCCCTATGCAATTTCAAGAAGGTGGCTTGGGAAGCTCTTGGGTCTCTGAAAGCTCTGCTGGAATGTATTTTGGATACTTGATTTCCAAACTATCTGGCCACCATCATTTGAACAACAATTCTCAAAACATTGGAAGGGAAAAGGAGTAAGCAAGATGAGCTGTTTCTTTGATCCGGGTTTCCCAGAGGGAAGCCCATGTGTTGTATACAGTTGAGCTTTGTTGGTATGTCCAAAATTATGAATTCTAGAAGGGCAAAACCTCATAATTATGAAATCCAAGTTCAATTAACCCTTCAAAACTAATTGCACAATCTCCCCTATGCCTGAGATATTCCAGCAATCTTACCAAGAACCACAAAATGACAAGTCTCTTGTGAGTTGTTTGCCCTTCCGGCATTGCAATCTCACGAGATTCGTAGATTCAGGGAGATTTTCCAAGATTCAGTAATCTTGTGAAAGGGCCAATTCAGGAATCTTGGTATCACCCACTGCCTGCCTCTCACCACTTTTTGGCAAGAATGCTATAATTCCACACAAGGAGCGACACCAAGCATTGACATCTGATGAAAACTGTCACGATGTCCTACTCATCAGGATGTGATGAATAATGTAACATGGGTTAGTCACCCAAATTGCAATTGCAAATCAGAATACATGGTGCTAAAGTACAGAGTTCAGCTGTTGAGAATCTTCATCTTTTTCCATCTTCCTTTCTCTTTCCGGTAAACAAGAAGGCAGCATTTGGTGCTTTTGATGCAAAGACATGAGCAATGCTTAGTGAAATTCTCACAATAATTCTTACAAAAATGTTCAAGGGCCAGTAGGGAGCATTTGGGCTATGAGACCAGTTCTCAGTCCCCAGGACTAAATTATGCAATAATTTTTAAAAGGGTGGGTGAACTGTTGTTCTGTGCACATTGAAGGAATTTTTTGGGGGAAAATGCAGTTGTTTGCAGATTTCAGCTTGCTGTAGAGAGAATTTAGGGTGCGAAGTTGCTGCCAAAGCTGGATCAGTTTTGCATTTATCCAGCTGAAGTGTTTATACTGCAATTTCCCTCTCTGTTATGGACATCAGCATATCTGCGTTCTGTGTTTTTACCACTTCTGCTTTTCTTAAATAGGGATTGGGTGGATTAGGACATAAAGCTTTTTGATGGGTTGTATTGAGAAGCCCAGCAATTGGAAAGTCATCTGTATGCATTTCCCCTGTCTTGCAGAGGCATATATTTTAGTTAAACCTTGGGTCAATTGATGTTCAAGAGATGTCTCCTTCCCAAAGTGGCCTTGTTCTGCTCTGCCACTCATGTACTCTGGGAAAGGTTCTGGATGCTGCAAAGACACGTAGAATGTTCAGTCCTGTGGCTGAAGTGATGGAGGCTGTGGAAGTGATGGAGAAGCCCTGAGAAGGGGAATGTTTTATTCAGACAGGGAGGGCATCATTTGGAAAATAGCTGGATGGGTTCTTGTACTCTTTCTTACTGAAGGAACAGGTTATCTTCTGAACTATTGACTCTGCAGGCAGCTAACGAGATTGGCCTAGTTTCCTGATTTTGCACGAAGTGTACAACTACCTTTAGCTGAGTGATAGAGTTCTCTTTGGTTTGCATTGTGATGTCTACTAAGAGTGTACAAACATGGACTCATAGGGAAAATGCAGTGTCAAGTGGACCAATTTCTCTCTTGGACACTTCAACTCTGCTTTCTGACTTTATAAAATTGGTCTGAGCTTTATCATAGGAACCACTCTGCTGAAACAAAAATACTAGTTTATCCAGCCTCCATGATGACTTGGGGGTTTATGGGTGTCTAAAAATACATTTGCATTTGTGTGTGAGTTTAAGTGGGCATGTAGGTGTGCTGACTAATTCTCTTCCATCCCAGAGCCAGGATTTGGGAAAAACCATACCTCCCCATCTGTCCCATAAAACCAAGAAGGACCTATGCTCTTTTGGGTTTAAGCTGCCTATGGGAAGCTGGCAGGGGTTAAAGTTCCACCAGCCCCATCCACTCTATAAAAGTCCAGAGGGAATCTAATGCCATATGAAGGACTATACTGTGGATTCTCACCTGTTGTTTAGAACAGGGGTCACCAACCTTTCGGACTTCAGGGAACACTAAATTCATAATTTTAAATCCTGTGGATCACAAATATGAATTAGCGATGGGATGGGGTCCTTCAGGCACTTAGCTTGGCCGCCTGTTAGCGGAAAGAAGTGCCTGGGGTCATGATGTCTCTCTAAGCTCAGCTGTGTGACCACGTCCTGTTCCAAGTGCCAGGGCTCCATACAAGCAGGAAGGTTGGTGGGACTTTTAAAACAATCCCTGCAAGTTTGGAAGGTTCATCCCCTCCCCAGCTGTAGAAATCTCTTCTGTTTTATCATTGTGCATGCTGGCATGGAGGTTACTCCCTGTATAATTGGTAATCATTAAGTTATTGGCTACTTTTTAATGGCTCAGGGCCATCCTTTGATGTTAGTTTGGGAGAAGGTCATCCAGATATGGAAGGGTGAAGGGTGGAGGAGTTAACCGCTGTATTAAGCATGTTAGTGTGGCTATTTTAGATATGAATCCAAAGTTTCAGGTGAAGTTTGCTTGTGATACTTGTCTATCACCATCTTTCCCATTCTTGCATCTTGATGATGGGTCGCATTAAACTCCATCATCCCTAAAGCCTATGACAGTTGTAGACCAAGAATATTGAGAAGATACTTTTGTAGAGTATCTTTGGAAATTTAGACCTGTGCCTTAAAGTTTGACTTGGTACCCGTAACTAATTATAATCAACTAGAAAACAATGTGAACTAAAGGTATACATGATAGTCATATATAGTCTTCAATAAACGTGTCCCCTCCCTATCCCAGATATCTTCAGTTGCCCAAACTCCCCATCTTTGAGCAAGAATTCTTTGAGGAAACTCATATATGAAGACAAGAATGCCTTGTAAGAGCAGAACAAAAGTGCTAGTGCCCCATTATTTTAAAGTTCTTTTAAATTAGACATTGCCGTGCATCTTCTAGAACAAATCTCTCACCAGCGATGGTTGAAATTGGTTTAGTGGGTAAATATGCTTTGAGCTTGCTTTGCAAGAAAACAGATTTGAAAATGCAACAACATTGACTGTCTTATTGTTGGAAGCTCCCTCCTTCTTGGGGTGGTTTGTGACACGGGTATTGTCAGTTTTTCAGTACTTTAGATTGTAATATGGCTGAAAGCAACAGCAAGAGAAATTCACCCTCACAAGCTGTATGTTTCCAATCAGTGGCTGCAGAGCCTAAATCCTGCTGTGTGTTTATGTCAGTTGCTGGCTTTCCACACTCAGTGGGAAGATACTTTAATATGGTTGTTCTCACTTTCATTATCCTTCGTTGTGATTTTGGACCTTATTTCTCCATGCTTCTCTTTCTCCCAGTTGGGTTTGTCCATTTGTTTGTGTTTTCTGATTAATGTTGTGGTACTTGCTTTGCTCGTGAGCTCATGGGCTGCCACAGCCAACAGGATAATGTGCCCACTGGTCACATCCAGAGTTCCTGGATAAAGTAACTTTCCCAAGGGAATACAAGAGCAAAACAACACAAATAATTGTTTAGCTGTATACTATTTCTGAAGTAAATGTTAACATGAGAAGTGATTTGGTGGGACTCTGCTTGATATATACAAATATCTGGAGCTTATTTATTTTAGGAGTAGAAAATATAAGTGTTTCACAGGTCAGAGTTACGTGCCTTCCCTTCTGAGAATAATGTACTTATGCATTAAGAAGCTAAAAAATAAATAAATGCAGTCCACACCGCAGTTTTCCTATCTCATATCTGTGAATGGGAAAAGAATATCTGTTCACCAAAGGAATGACTTTCCAGCTATGGAAAGGAACATACAACAGATACTGAGACAGTAGGAAAAGTTTAATAAAACTCCTTAATAAAAGGAGTTTAAAGTCCATTGAAGAGTGGCAAGGTTGTGTGAGGCTCCCACGTGACAAAAAAGATGACCGTAGCAACTTTGTCCTTTCTGATCACTCTCAGCCCAAGACATTTTAATCAGATTAACGGGGATAAAACCAAACACTTCTCTCATTTTAATCTATGTAGCATTTCTGTTTTGACCTTTCCATGCACCACCAAACACAAGGGATGAATTCAGAAGGACGCAAATTAATCAGGAAAAAGTTGTGGGCTAAAAAGGTGTGTTTAAGCAGAACTTTAGTGCAGAAATTAAGTAGTGAGAATCAATTTTGGCACAGTTTGACACAGTTTTTAAGAAGGAAGATTAGGCATTTACGGGGTGGGAGTGGGTGGGTGGGGGAGGAACCCTTAAACAGGAAAGAGTAGCCAATACATTTCAGGATAAGGAATTGTAAACTACCCCATCCTCTTCAAGAGAAACCTCCACGACTTGGTTGAAAGTCACCAAAACGAAACAAACTATTTGGTGGTCCATTCTAATCTTTATTTGTGTAGCACTTTTCTGTAGCACAATACTATAAAATGTTGCTTTTTATGATTACCAAAGCTTGTTTGAAAGCATGCACTTTGTAGGATCTTAATATTTCACATGTGATGATCGCCAAGGTACTCTGTTATAGTGATAATAGTTTATTGCATTATGATGTATGCAGATATTTAATCTTAAGTGTCATGGTTACGAATGGTGGATGGTTGGGTTTTCTAATTTGGTTTACTGTAGTCTAGAATAATATATACATGGCTGGTTCGTGCCAACTTGAGGTTACAAAGGAATAGATTTTATAAGCGAGTTATTCTCACAGCTTAAAATAGATCACTTCTATACGGAACATGACTGGGGTGGACAATCAGGAGGCATCCCAAGGAACACAGGTTTAATGTCAAGCAGATTCAAAGAAGACTCCAGGAAGAGAAGTGTACTGTCTTTAGCCTTCGGGGTTCATCTCTTTGTAACGATGACATGCAAAGGAGAGGCAGAGCCCTTGGTCTTATCATTCTGCTGCCCTAGACGAAGGAGGAGTCCCACAAGCAAAGAGAGATGTGGGAGAGGACAGGAGCAGGTGACATGTTCCTGTGTGGAGGGCAATGATTTCACAACATCAGAAATGGTGAGGGAGGCAAGGGAGATATCCCTCCAACCAGAGTTTCATGCAAACGCTGGGCAGGGCCTACTGTTCTTCCTGCTACAGGGTCATCAAGGAAGGCATTGGATGAATTCCATTATCCACCAACCTTGTCTGTAGGTCACTATATGTAAAAGTTGAAGCATGATTTCTAAAAAAGAAAAAAAGAAAAAAAAGAGTAGGGGGGGAGGAATCTTTTAATGATTTGGGAATGGTCCATGTCCCATAACTAAACTGTGGACTTTTTTGTTTGTATGTATGTTTGTTTGTTTCTATGGCAATAGATGTTTTAGTGTTGTTGGCTGCATCATTTATAACTGAACCAGAATGGTCTCCTTCATAAATCTGTTTTAATTAAAACTCATGTCAGAGCAACAGGAACAGATACACAAGTATTTGAAGTTTACAAACTACATCTTTGATAAGGGAAAATGCTGTCATGACATGTGTACAGTTGCTATTAAAATGCCATCTATATATTCTATATGATTGTATAATATTTTATACAACAGTACAAATAAAATATTTTTCTATTATGATGAAACACAGGTCTTCCGTTTGTTTGTTAGCTCATATAAATAACATAAATAACACTGTCAAACGACACATTGGAAGTGCTGACAATTTCTCTTTTCCTAGGCTTGTGAGAGTTAATCATGCTGCCATTATTACACCTGTTCATGCTGTTTAGAAATATTCCAGTTAAGTTGTTCAGTAGGTTAAAATGAATGCATATTTAAACACCATTTAGAAGCCAGGAAATTTTATTTTACTCAAGCTTGTTTATATAGATTTGTTACATTTGGCAGTATGGAGAGAGGAGGGACAAATTAACACCAATTGCAGCACTTAGATGTATAAATGGTTGCTAGGGGAAAAAAGAAAAGAAAACTAAAATACCCTCAAGATTTTGAACAGTTGAAAGCAGTGGCGGATCAGGAGGGGAGGAAACATGGGAAATACCAAAGGGCAGAACTACATGTTACACAGGGCGGCTGCACAGGTAATACTGTCTCCATGTGGGGCTCCTTTGCTTTCTCCCCCATGACACGGGGACCCACTGACTGGCACGGTGATGCCATCCCATCCCGTGTCCCCACCAGCAGCATCCAACCGGGACAGGGAAAGCACATAAGCTGTGGGTACAACGGCCAGCATGCTTGGCTTCAATGCTGTAGGGCAGAAGGGGAGAAAGATACTTCACTGGATGCCATCTAGGGGGCTGACCTAGCTTGGCTGGAACATGTAGCTCTGCTCAGAGAGGAACCGTTGAAGAAATGGGTGACGGGGGCTTGCTTCTGGGTAGGAGGACATTTGTCATGCGTCTGATGTGGAGGGTGGAGAGAGGGCGTAGGCAAACAGAGGAGGGTCCTAAGGAGGGTGGAGATGGAAATTAGCGTCCCACACTGATGTTACATGTCTTGCAGCTTGGATCTTTCTTGGCATTGGCAGTGGACAAACTCATGAGTTGGTGCCCGGTGATTTCTGCCACTGTGCCGAGGGAGAGACTGACCGGGTCAGTGTAAATCACTTCCAAGATGACATCCTGCGCATGGTGGTAAACCATGACTCCGTCTTCTTCGGTGCAGGTCAGGAATTTGTTATCCTGCAAGTTCAGCTGGGGCAGGCGCTGCTTGCAGAACTCGTCCCCCAGCGAGCCAACGGGGGCCAGGACAAGAATGACATAGTGGTAGGCCGTGTACATGCAGTAGAAGTCCCCGAAGTACAAATTTGAGTTTGGGTTGAAAAGTTTCTCGGCTGCAATGTCAAACCTGTATCTTCCGTAAGGCGAATCTTGGGGGGGCTTTCCGGTGTTGAATTCAGTGTGGCAGCTGAAAAAGATCCCCTCCAGCTTCCCGCTGATCGGAGAGCCGTGGCTGCCGCTGTTATCCTTAACTGAGGGCTGCAGGATGCTTCCATGCTGCTCTCTAGAAATAAAGGATGGGGAACACGTTAGGTTTACAGTGGCATTAAGAGCAGGGGTCTCCAACCGTGACAAGTTTAAGACTTGTGGACTTCAACTCCCAGAATTCCTCAGCCAGCTTTGCTGGCTGAGTTATTCTGAAAGTTGTAGTCCATAAGTCTTAATCTTGCCAAGGTTGGAGACCCCTGCATTAGAGCATGGGGACCATGCAGACCCCCATTGCTCAACCCTCATCCTGCTTGCATTTATGCAGAGAAACTGGACAATACAGATGTTGGCAGAGACCAAATCTGCTTTTATCAGGGAGCTATGTATCTTATTGGAGAGGGTCTCTAATTTTAGGTAGTGTGTGATATTGAATGGGAGACCAAAAGCAGCCCTCCTATTTTGAGAACAGAAAGTACAATTAGAAAGTTGCAACAATCTACATCTCAGTCGACCTACTTCTGTCCCCTTCCAAAGAGTCACTGGATTTGGAGAGAAGGCTACAGATTGTGCTACATCAAATAGTAAGGTGTTTGTCCCTAAAGCAAAGGGTTCCATTAGGGCAAAGGGGAAAATTTAATGCCATAGGATGAGTTCTAGTTCTACTTTGTCTTCTTCTATCCCTTCCATGCATTGAGGTGAAGAAAACTTTAGATGAGGTTCATCGTCTGTGTTTTTTTTTAAAATTTCTCAGAACCAAGATCGTGGATTTTACACCTCTCAGAGGGCTGAGAGGAACATCATTTAAAGTTGAGATGAACCATTTTGGACCACAAGGAGGTGCAGCAGAGCAACTCTTTTCCGGATGGCAGCACAGCCACCCCCCAGTGCCAGATGAGCTCATCCCAGGGCAGCAATGAAGCTACTCCAAGACAATTTGTCGTAGTTAATTTTTCCTGAGCATCGGACTTCTATATCATAACTACTTGGCTTTCCTGTTTTTAAAGCTGTATCTGGTAAAACTGCTTTGCTTTTTTTAGATTTCAAGAATATTGGAAATAAATCTTCTGAAGAGTACAACCCAGAGGTGGTATTCAGTCAATTCTGACCAGTTCTGCAAGAACTAGCAGCAGAAATTTTGAGTAGTTCAGAGAACCAGCAAATACCACCTCTGGCTGGCCCCACTCCCACCTATTCGCTTCCTCCCGAGTCCCAGCTGATTGGTTGGGTCTTCTTTTGTTGCCCTGCACAGGAGAACAGCTTGAAAGCCGGTTAATGGGGTGGGGAGGGAATGGGTATTTTGCAGTATCCTTCCGCTGCCATGCCCACCAAGCCAAGCCCACAGAAACGACAGTAAAAATGTTTGAATCCCACCACTGGTACAACCTACTATTCACTTATCAATGATAACACTTAAAGGGAACTGTTGCTAATTAAGAAGCAGGTTGCTCCTAGATCTGACGTGTTGAGCACTTCCTGGTCACTTATCAGTGGGAAAAGCCATGCTTTTATCATCTCCTATAGTCAGGCATCTCTGAAAAGCTGGCTCTTTTTGCCTTTGCTTACCTGATGTAGTCAAAGTATTCTTTGTGCTGATTCCGATAAAAGACTGAAAATTTAAGCATACGGCCTGCAATCACTTCTGCCTTTTCCAAAAGTTGTGTTAAGTGAACCTTGGAATAATCTGTGAATACAAAACATTTTTGTTACTGAGGACAATGCACCGGTGCTTCCATATGGATGATTGATGGTGCTACGATATTATCACCTAGAACCCCAAAGCTAGCAAAACGCAGCTATCCATATGTGCATCCCTATTTCACCATTGGTTAGTCTCTTTCAGGTTAAGCAACATGAGGTCAAGTTCAGAAGGAGAGTAGGACATAGTAGGAAAAGGAAAGAAAGGAGGAAAGGAAAAAAGAAAAGGTAACCTTAAAGGAACATTATTTAGTATACTTCTCCAGATCTTCCTCTTGTTGCAAATTGCCTCGCTTCTATCGTGCCCATACTTTGATTCATACCAGAGGTGGTATTCAGCAGGTTCTGACCAGTTCTGGAGAACTGGTAGCGGAAATTTTGAGTAGTTCGGAGAACTGGTAAATATCACCTCTGACTGGCCCCCACCTTCATCTATTCTCTGCCTCCCGAGTCCCAGCTGATCGGGAAGAAATGGGGATTTTGCAGTAACCTTCTCCTGGAGTGGGGAGGGAATGGAGATTTTACACTATCCTTCCCCTGCCATGCCCACCAAGCCACACCCACCATGCCATGCCCATAGAACCGGTAGTAAAAATTTTGAATCCCACACTGATTCATAACCCACCTTTTGTTCTTAATTTCTCAACTCTCTCTCCCCCCCTCCTTCCTTCCTTCCCTCCCTCCCTCTCTGGTTTGGATATCCATTTGTCTGAAATGGTAGAGGTTCCCTGCTTGAGCAGGGGATTGGATTAGAAGACCTCCAAGGTCTCTTCCAACTATGTTATTCTGTTATTTCATCAACTCTGTCCAAGTGTGACTTTCTTGGTCTTCCTTTTGTGTCTTTCACTCTTCCTCCATCTGACCATTTTGTGGCTCTATCCTCATTCCTTCTCTACAGAGCAGCAAAGCACCTGAATGCAATTTTTCAATCCTGGTCACTTATTTTTGTATTCATCTTTGCAACAACCCAGTGCCCCTTCTCCTTTGACCTCCTATTTTTTTATCTTCCTCACAATCTTCTGAAGCACCCAACTCCCAGGGGATTCTCCTGACCTTCTCAGTACTCAGTTCCCTCTCCCAAAATGACCACTCTTGCACCCAGCCATTTCTGCTTCTTCTAACTGCTATTTGTTTCTGACAAGCTGCCTCTGGGCCATAGCAGTAGTGGGATTCAAAATATTTTTGCTACCAGTTCTGTGGGTGTGGCTTGTGGGCATGGCAGGGGAAGGATACAGCAAAATCTCCATTCCAGTGGTGGGTTTCAATTTTTTTAGAACCTATTCTGTAGGTGTGGCCTGTTTTGTGGGAGTTGCTCAGCAGTCATGTGAGAGGGTGGGAGTGGCTTGCCGGTCATGTGACTGGGTGGGCATGGCGAACTTGGAAAATGTGGTGAAACTCAGTTAACAACTCTCTTGCTTAGCAAAAGTTTGGGCTCAATTGTGGTCATGTTCTCTCTCTCTCTCTCTCTTCTTTCTTTCTTTCCTTTTGTCTCTCTCTCTCTCCCTCTTTCTCTCGCTTTCTATCTTTGTCTCTCTTTCTTTTTTCTCTCACTCTCCCTCCATTCCTTCCTTCCTTTCTTTCATGTGTGTATCTCTTCCCCTTCCTTCCTTCCTTCCTTCCTTCCTTCCTTCCTTTCTCTCTTTCTTTCTCTCTCTCTCTCTCTCCGTTCCCCCTCTCTCTCACACACATCTCTTCCAATTATATTTGTATATATATTCTATGAACTAAAACCGGTGCACAATAAATCCTATGATCATGGCATTCTATGTCCTACAAGCCAATTCACAAAGCTCCCAATTCAGCCTCTTACTGCTCTGGGGGTTAACCGAATATCGTTAGTCATCCTGTTATCTCTTGGTCTTGGTTCCCGCCTTTTTAGCAGAACAACAGAGAGGTCTACTTTCAAACGGCTTTTTCCCCTTTTGCCGAAGCCAGATTTCTCTGCCACTTGGTGGGTGATCTGGTGGGAGTCTGAAGGTGTTGGGCATGCCACGAAAGGCATGCACATCACACACACACACACACACACACCGCTTGCCGTAATGCAAGGCATATGTGTAAGTGGGACTAGATCAGCTGGGAGACTGGCAAAAAAGAAACCTCTGTTTCTCTGCTGCTGCTGCGGCTCATAGAGGAAGGATGATGGCCGGCACTCGCCCCCTTGCCGCTTTCCTGGCCAGCCACCCAGATAAGCAGGGTTGCAGCCAGTGGGCCGCAGGGGCAGTGGTGGCAAGTGGTAAGTGAAGAGAGTGCTGGCTAGTATCCCTGCCTCCTTCCTCCACGAGTGCGTCTAGGGAGAAATCAGGAGAAGAGAGGGAGGAGAAGGCCGTCTTTAGCAGAAGCTCACCCTTCTCCTCCTTCTCCCACAAAAACAGGCCACACCTACAGAAACAGGCCACACTTAGCTGATTTCTTCCTGGCTGCACTCACAGAGGAAGGAGGCAGGGATAGTGGCCAGTGCTCTCTTCACTTACCACTCGCCACTGCTGACCCTGCAGCTCAGCCCTACTTAGCTGGGTCTCACTCTACCTCCTTATTTCTGTTTCAGTCAATTCTGGCTGTTTTAACCAGAGGTGAAATTCATTTTTTGTAAACTACCGGTTCTGTGGGTGTGGCTTGGTGGCCGTGGCAGGGGAAGGATACTGCAAAATCTCTGTTCCCTTCCCACTCCATGGGAAGGATACTGCAAAATCCCCATACCCTCCTCACTCCAGGGGGAGGATACTGCAAAAACTCCATTCCCTCCCCACTCCATGGGAAGGATACTGCAAAATCCCCATACCCTCCTCACTCCAGGGGAAGGATACTGCAAAATCTCCATTCCCTCCCCACTCCATGGGAAGGATACTGCAAAATCCCCATTCCCTCCTCTCTCCAAGGGAAGGATACTGC